ATTTTGTTAAATATAATTACAAGTTTTCTTTGGTTTAACCAAAATTTGTTGATGTAGTAAATTAGTAAAAATCTTGTGTAGATGATTTGTTATGTACATTTTAAAAGTTTTGACATTCATAGCTCATTTGTTTTAATGCAACATAATTGTACTTTATTCCATGGTTTTACCAAATTGTTTTTGTTAGTATAGTCAATTACAATATATCTTGTGAAGATTATTTTGTATTAATCTTTTGAATGTGACTTTCATTACACACTTTGTTTAAATACAATCAAATTGTATTTTTTATTTGGTTTAACCAAATTTTGTTCATGTAGCAAATCAGAAAAGAATCTAGTTATTTACTATACAATTTAATATGTGGAATTAATTGCTGATTTTGTTTGAAAACAAACAAATTGTACTGTATTTATTAGTTAAACTATATTGTTATGATCAAACCATCTGATTGTACTCATATCAGTATATCAAAACAATAAAATTGTTGCAGTTACTATTTTTGTTTTTATTAAATACAAATCTAAATTGTTTTAGATGACAGTTCCCAGTATGTTACTTAATTAGCAAATATTATCCACACATTTGATACCTTTATGCTCTTTTACCTGGTAAAAAATCTCATTGACAGTAAGTATATTTTACTAGTGCTAACATGGAGACAAAAGGGCCAGTCTTTCTTTAAGCATCAACTTGCACCCTTTTCACATCATGTAGTATGCTTTGTTTGACTGTCCCTCTAGAATTTCAACTCATTTTTTTTCCCCACTACCCTAAACAATGTTTGATTTAACCAAGAAGTCTCTTTACAACTTCTTGATTTAACACAGTTCCACTAAGTGTAATGACAGAACAAATATTAGCGGTATGATCAGGTATCATGCCAGTCCCGTCAAGCCATTACAGCTAAAGGACTTAATCAGAATAGAAATAATCTGTACGTGCTTAAAACTGAGCCTCAGCCCGTGAACCTACTAGTAGACAAGTGGGGGTTGGTTTACAGCTAGGATGTAGATACTAAGTTTCCAGAAACTTTGGGGGAAGAATTGCTGTTAGAATGTTGATCCGTAGCACAATCAATCAGTCAAACAGTAAGTCAATTAATCAATCAGTCAATCGGCCAGCCTACCAACCAACCAACCAGTCAGTCAATAAGTCAATCAATCGATCAATCAATCATATCGACCATGTTTGACCAGACCTATAGATAGTGTACTAGTACTAGTATCAACTAATGCCAATATGGATACACTGCAGTGGCAGATTTAGAGGATCCTGACCCCTTCTTCGGTTTCGTTGTGGCGAATCTCGTTAAAATGAGATTTTTGACTAGAATTTTGACTGGGGGGGGGGGGGGGGGGGGGCGGATAGTGTGTCCAAAATTTAATAATAAGAAATAGCATAACAGTCGTTAATTAACCAATACTGTACAAGCTACTGTACATATACATGTAGAGTGCTACTGAGGCTACTACAAATGTACATGATGTACAGGGTAATACAGCGGACTAATGCTGAGTAGAATTGCATTGCCTCCGTTTTCGGTTCAAAAAATGAATACATCAACGCCACAACGAATATATGTATATAATGTTCTACTTAAGTCAAGCGAACGATGTATATATAACTAACTTCATCATTAGTAGTGGTTTTGGGCAACAATGATGTCACTGCGCACTTGCAGGCTGTTAATTTCACTGTTGATGAGCGTCATATAACACCTCTAAATTTTAAAATATTTTTACAAATATACAGTACTCAGAATTCACAGAAAGAAAAGCCGGGTTCCCATTTCCGTGGATGTAACTATGACAATGGTTATAGACTTTCAAGTCCACGGTTTCAAGTCACATTATTCATTGGATTTTATCCATAAAGCTCACTTGCAAGAGGAGTCGCCACCGGAAGCACGCTGTAACTAGGTTATCGTGCAAAGTCAAGTTGTTATTAAGAATAATAGTTTCGCTTAAATGACATTGTCAAATATGTAGTTTACTGAAACTACAGAGAATACTTTGTCATAGAATTTTTACTTAAGTCATCCATATTTTTTGTCTGTTCATTAAGTTATTTTACAAAATTTTACATATATATTTTTTACTCGTAACTACAATCAAAGGGAGAAAACGAAACCAGTCAAGGGTCGAAAGCGTGACAGGATATGTGGTGCAAAGTCTGCAATCACTGGTTCTGCAATGTTGGCAAAGCTGTGGCTAAAGATACGTAGAAGTCAGAGTTAGAAAAACTTCATGAATCAGTTGCTTGTTGCGTTTTCTACTTGCATACTTTTTAACTACCTGTTAAACTCTGCAATACGGTACCCAGTTTAGTTTGCGCGAGTTTGCAAAATACCGAGTAAAAGCCATGGCGGCAGCTGCAGCCAGCTTGGCTGAAGATGACGACAGCCTAAGAGCGGTGATAACAGAGCACTTTGTGAATTGCCCTATTTGTTTTAAGGAATATGACGAGCCGACATCGTTGCCATGTCTTCACTCTTACTGCAAGGGCTGTCTGAAGACGCACGTTGGTGATTTGACCCCAGGGAGAACGTTCTCATGTCCAGTATGCCAGCGGGAGACGCGGGTCCCAACAGAAGGACTTGAGGGATTCTCTCATAATTTCTACATTGAAAGCCTACAGGACACCTTGCTGCAGCCCCCAAGGAAGAGAACTTGTGGTGCGTGTGCCTTAGCTACAGGGGCTGTTGTGGATGCGACGTCCAAATGCATCAGTTGCCACGAGTATCTGTGTGAGCAATGTGCCCCTTACCATTGCAGGACCAAGTTCACAAAAGATCATAAAATCTTCACGCTTGAACAGTTGCGAAGTAAAGAATACAAGGCAGAGATCCAAGAACTGCAGATTTTCCTATGCCCAGACCACAAAGATGAAGCCATTAAGTACTTCTGTGAAAAGTGTCAGCGACCAATCTGCCGTGACTGCAAGATTTTGCTTCATGATGATCACAAGTGCATTTCTCTTGATGCTGCTGCTGAATCCGTGACACAAACCCTGCAAACTAAACTTGACCATCTCGAAAAGAAGTTCAAAGAGGAAGATGAGTTGTTGTTGGCTCTCGAGAAGAACACCATTGATGTCGAGGCAAATATTAAGCAACGGGCAGTACATCTTCACAGTTTGGTTGACCAGCAAGAAAAAGTTCTCATGGAAAAGGTACATGCACAGAAAAAGTCCTTAGATATTAGCCTAGAACACCGCAAAACAAATAAAGGTACCGTGGACTTGGTGAAAGGTTTCCTTGGCCATGCTTCACCAGGGGAGCTTCTAATGATGCAGCAGCAACTGTGCGACCAGATGGACAACCTTCAGTCCAGTTCCAGCTCCAGAAAGATCCCACCACTGCTCTCTTTCCAGCTACAGACCAGGGATGGGGTCGAGGAAGACCTATTCAAGGGAAAGTGGTTTGGTGATATTGTGGAGGTCCAAAATTTGGAATTTAGAACCACAGAAAAAAAGGAAACTGACATCTGGAACTGGTCAATGTTGTCGGTGTTAGAGCCTCAAAATGTGGTACAAGATTCTCAAGAAATGATGCAAATGTTGGAAAAACCAAGCTGTGGTGAAGAAAAGGAAGTTAGGACCCAGAAAATGAGACCCCCTGCAAGGTGTGTTCAGGAGTTCAACACCAATTGCAAGTACCCTGGTGCCATTGTGGTTACAGGAGACCAAAAGTATGCCATTGCAGACTTCAACCGCGAGTCAGGACAGGTTTGTGTTTACCTTCAAACAGGAGAATTTGATGAAGAAATCATTGAAGCAGCAAACAACAATGAGCTTGATACAGTACAAGGTCTGTGTCACCTCCCCAGTGGTAGAACTGTCATATCAGATTATGAAAATGATAAAATATTTGTTATGTCAAAACTTTGGAAGCCTGTGACAGTTAAGTGTATTGATGGACCATGTGGTGTTGCTGTCAATAGTAAGAATCATATTGCTGTGGCACAAATGCATGATCAGTGTATCACCATGTTTGACATTGAGCCTAATGGGAAAATGACTGAAATTTACCTTATAGAACCAGATGATTTCCCAAGTCCATTTTGTCTAGCTTATACAAGTGAAGATTTTCTTGTTGTAGGCCATGTTAATGATGGCAGGGTTGATATCTTGAGTCCATCTGGTGACATAATTTGTCATTATACAGGCCCTAGTAATGACCTGAAAAAGCCACAGAGTATTTGTGTGGATAGATATGACAACATATACATAGCAGATAGGAGGAGGAATTGTATCCACATTATATCTCCAGAGGGGCAGTTTATTCAGTATTTTGAAACTGAAATGGGGGGTGTTAGTTTCAGGTTTCCTTGGGGGCTGGCAATTGACCAAGATGGAGACTTGGTTGTAGGGTTATATGGAGGGAAAGTGAAAGTTTTCTCTTTTCTGGAATAGAAAGTAAACTCAAGGAGTTTATGAAATACAAGTATTTAACTGCACAGAAAATAAGAAACAATACATTCAAAATGGTTGTGGATTTGTGTGATAATGTGTCAATATTCCACGTATTTTACATTTTCCTTTCAAAGACAGACTCATTGGTACTTAAGTGGAGAATACTGATAGTAGGTGGAGAAACACAAAATATAGTGGTAGTATTGTGGGATCTATCAGTGGGTTGTGGAGAAATTGTATGATGTGGGGAGAGGGATAGTACTTATATATATGAATATTATAACTATGAACTTGTTTTTTGAATTCCCAAGTTCCTTATTTTTGAGACACTCATAATAATTATAGTTAAAATTGAAGTTTAACTCAAAAACATGTTTATACTAGTAGATGATTAAGAGCAATTGTTAAATATTTCCAGGTATATGAATTTTTATGTGATAATTTGTGCATTGTGTAGTGCATAAAGGCCCAGTCACAATGTCGGCGATCTGTCGAGGATTAGTTTTGGCCGGGGGTCGTCGTAGAAAATAAAGAATCCTTGAACAATCCTAGCAATAAGCCTAATAAAAGTGGAGCAGTCACATTGTCTGAGATTTTTTCAAGGATTTTGACCCGGTTTTGTCGAAAAATTGTGGGATTAGCCTCCGATCGCCTCCGATTGCATCTTCAAAATCTTCCGTCACAGCCTCCTGCAGCAAGAGCTTCTCAAACTTTTAGATATCCGGTCGGAGGCGCCCTTATGTACACGTCGATTTACTACGATTCCACCGTACGATTCGTCGGAGCCGATCACATAAAGCGTACGAATCGTCGCAGGTTGCCTCCGATTCAGTCAGAGGGCGCCGGGGACTACTCGCAGACATTGAATCTCAACCTGATTTTCCAATCCCACACAGAATATTGCGACTAGTCTCAGATTTTTCGGAGGACGCCTCCAATTAATCGGAGGGCATCGTAGGTCATCGAGAAATTGTGTCTGGAATGCCCAAAATGGGTGAAAAATCTTGCGAGCAATCTTAAAATTTTAAGTTCAAAGTTGGGGACCGCGACGGGTGTGGCGATGTCTAAAAAATCTGCGACAACCCGCAGGCGTCCGGAGAGCGCCTCCGACGGGTGCAAAATCGTGAGATCTGTCTCAAGATTTGTTCAAATTTCCCGGGTTTTACCCATCCCCGACACATCGCAACTGATTTGTGACTGGGCCTTTAATGTAGACTGCACCAAAGAAAGTACTTGGCAATTCTCTCTCCTTTCTCCCACTTACAAACTATTTCACAAGGTATATAGAAAACTGTAGAGTTATGTATAGTTAAATGATTATAACACAGCTGAGAATAGGAATAATTAGCTGCCCAGGATAAACAGTAGAGGTATTGTAACATAACATTAACTAGTTCACCATCTGTCTTGCACATTAGTCTAGGACTTGCCCTAAACAAGATCTATGACAACCTAGTAACAATTATCTTAACATGTGACTGTTAAAGAATTTTTTTTTATCAACCTCCCATCATATTCTAAAAAATATTTAGTTATATTGACTGGAAATGTGTTTCTTCTGTATATGTCCATTTATAAAAATAATCATGTTGTCTTAATTGTGTGGTATAATAGTAAAATCTTCAGTTGATTAGTTTGTATATATTTTTTCGATGTAGCTTATTTTGTTGTATAATAAGTTAAGCATTAGACCTTTTGTAATGCAATCAAATTGTACTTCATTCCATCGTTTAACCAAATTGTTTTGTTAGTGTAGTAATTTAGTGTAAATCTTGTGATGAATATTTTGTATAAATCTTTGAAGTTTAACAGTCATTACTCATTGTTTTAATACAAATTGTATTTTTCCTTGGTTTAACCAAATTTTGTTTGTGTAGTAATTTAGAAAAAAATCTTGCAAAGATGGTTATTTTTTATAATTGGAATTAAATGCTGATTTTGTTTGAATACAATCAAATTGTAATGCACTCCTTGCTTGTACCAGATTGTTTTGAGAAATTGTACTTATATTAGTATATTTTAATAAAAAAACATTCAAATTCCTGAAATTACATTTTTTTTATTGAATACACATTTTTTGTATTAGATTAGATATATGTTATAAATTAAAAAAAAGTATCATCTATCTACTTTGATATCTTTATGCTCCCTTGCCTGGTAAAAAAAAAGAAAAGAAAAAAAATTATTGACAGGAAGCATATTTTATACGTGCTAACATGGACCCAAATAGGCCATTCTATGTTTAAGGACCAACTGACACCGTTTTCACATCATGTTGTATAACTTCATATTCCACGCCATTTTGAATGGTTCTGACATGTACTTTACACTGATGGGTGTATTACCCCCTTTCACAACTTCTTGTCCAACTGATTCCTCCAGTAAATCAACTTGGGCCCCATAACTCGAAAGCATGGCGCATTGCAACCGAGCGCAAGCATCTCGATTCCATAACTAGCCCCATCTAATACATTGTAGCCTCTATATGATATTGCTATTCGCAATACGCGATACTTTCGAGTTACCAGGCCTTGGTTTACTACCTTGAACGAAGATATTAGGTTGTCCATCTCTGATTAGGGTGCAACAGAAAAGTGTACTGCATGCTGCGTATTGGGTCCGAGAGGTACAGGTACATGTAATATGTTGATATATAGTCAAAGCTAGTATCAGTATGGTCCAAAATGACTAGAGAAAACTTTCCCATTCTAAACAAGACAAGTTAATCTCACCATCGAGTCATTTCACATGTTTATCAAAAGTTGACATATATATTCTTTATCATGCAGACTTTAAATATTTCAGGACAAATATAGATTTAATTATTTTTTCAAACAAATAAATCATGACTCAACTTTTTCATGTAAATTGTACATGCTGCCTGGAATCTTAGTTACCCCACCACATGATAAGACTTCTCCTTTGTGTTTAGATTTACAGAAATATTGAACAATAATAAATAAAATTCAATAGTGTGAAAGCTTTCTTGAATGTGATAGCCTGCTGAAAGAAAGAAATTGGAGAAGTTGGATAACAAACTGTAACATATGTTGGAAAGTAAAAGACATGCTTTTGACACCAAAGAGTAAATGGTATTCTCCACTCACTATTCTTTTTCTTTACAACTGAAAGATTTTTCACATATAACAGTGCCTTACAAGCTTATTCAGTAAAATAAAAGTTCAAAAATCTTCATTTTACTTTGGATCTCTTGTTGCTTATTTACCATTTCTTAAAATATAAGAATTCTTCATGGTTTTAGAAATCAAAATATTTGTAATTGGCCAGAGACTTTCAGCAGCCACAGTTTACCGAAAAATTACTCTGTACTGGAAATTAAAGAAAAAAGTCAACAATACTGGGATTAAGTCAGTACAGAGAATTCTGTCAATTTTTTAAAATTATTTCTAACAACATATATATTATCTAATATAATATATATCAAAATTAAATATCTATATGTTCGACCATGTTTTTTTTTAATACATATATTTTGTCTCATTATGTGAATGCTTGTAATTGATACAAGCTCAGTGGGTCTAAAATGATTTACTGCCTTGGTGAGTTGTTTGTTTGTAGCCAGCACAAATAAATATTAGTGCACACAACAATTCCTGAGCTGTGCAACAAAAGCATCACTTGCAGAAGCCACTGATAAAGATTCCTTTAATTTATAACTGAAGAATATTTCTCTTCATTGAACAATTCACTGTTGGTATTATACAAAACTTTTTCCTCTGACATCACAAAGGCATAACCCGACTATGTGTTCAACAAATTAAAGTAAAAGAGTTCATCTCCTCTTAAATCAGTGGTTTACACATGAATTTGAAAGAGACCATCCAAATTATCCTATGAGTAGAAGAACTGGCCACATTCCTGACTGGGTGTGTAGCAGGAACATGGGTCTAGGTTCACTGGCCATCTCCCTGAATCATTCTTTTCACTGGGGTCACGAAGGCATCCATCACATTTTTTAGAAAAGACTTTCGGCTTGCATTCCCTTGATTGTCAGTCTTGGACAGATCTGGCACAGGAACAGGATCTGACCTGAGAAAATTAAGACAAGAACTGCATTAGTGTTTGATTGAAATATGTTGTCCTTAAAGGTCATCTGGTGTGTGTGTGTGTGTGTGTGTGTGTGTGTGTGTGTGTGTGTGTGTGAGAGAGAGAGAGAGATGGATGGAGTCACGAGTGATGAGTGTTTTAGTATACCTTGCCAGTTGCTGCAATTTCATATCCTCTTGCAGCTCCTCTACTTCTATGATGTGACGATCAGGACGCATTCTCCTAGAACTAGACCTTAGGTTATACATGCTGTCAGTGTCAGAAAGCACTGCTGGTGTGGACTTGGATTTTCTTGGTGAGCTGCGACCTGGTGGTGGCTGTAGCTGTACTCTGGTCCCTTTGTGTTTGATGACTGACGAGTTCTGCATTCGATTCTCTTGAACTTCAACGTGATTCAAAGACCTTTGTCTTTCCAGAGCCACATTTCTATTGCTTTTATCAGACAACTTGTGCTTCACATGAGAGCTCACTGAAAATGCATCAGCTTTATTTCTCATGGAGTCTGTAGTCAAAGAAACAGCCCTTGTAATATGTGCCTTGTTCTTGCTGAGTGGATGCTTTTTAATCCTTAATTTTACAGATCTCGTTTCCAATTTGTCGCTTTTAGTGCTTGAATCCCTAGAAGAGTTGCATCTGTTTCTTAAGGAGAATCTGTTTTTAATCTTAGCACTTCCAGGATGTCTAGAACTCGCTGGACCCTCACTATTTCTATTTTTCAGGGGATTGCCTGTAAGCTTCCTATGTGCTTTTTCCTTAGTTTTCCACCTCCCAAAATATGCCACATCCCTCTCATTAACTTTGCCTCTGCTATTTCTAGATGAAAGAGCTCTGTTCTTCAATATCACCTTCTCTCTNCTGCATTAGTGTTTGATTGAAATATGTTGTCCTTAAAGGTCATCTGGTGTGTGTGTGTGTGTGTGTGTGTGTGTGTGTGTGTGTGTGTGTGTGAGAGAGAGAGAGAGATGGATGGAGTCACGAGTGATGAGTGTTTTAGTATACCTTGCCAGTTGCTGCAATTTCATATCCTCTTGCAGCTCCTCTACTTCTATGATGTGACGATCAGGACGCATTCTCCTAGAACTAGACCTTAGGTTATACATGCTGTCAGTGTCAGAAAGCACTGCTGGTGTGGACTTGGATTTTCTTGGTGAGCTGCGACCTGGTGGTGGCTGTAGCTGTACTCTGGTCCCTTTGTGTTTGATGACTGACGAGTTCTGCATTCGATTCTCTTGAACTTCAACGTGATTCAAAGACCTTTGTCTTTCCAGAGCCACATTTCTATTGCTTTTATCAGACAACTTGTGCTTCACATGAGAGCTCACTGAAAATGCATCAGCTTTATTTCTCATGGAGTCTGTAGTCAAAGAAACAGCCCTTGTAATATGTGCCTTGTTCTTGCTGAGTGGATGCTTTTTAATCCTTAATTTTACAGATCTCGTTTCCAATTTGTCGCTTTTAGTGCTTGAATCCCTAGAAGAGTTGCATCTGTTTCTTAAGGAGAATCTGTTTTTAATCTTAGCACTTCCAGGATGTCTAGAACTCGCTGGACCCTCACTATTTCTATTTTTCAGGGGATTGCCTGTAAGCTTCCTATGTGCTTTTTCCTTAGTTTTCCACCTCCCAAAATATGCCACATCCCTCTCATTAACTTTGCCTCTGCTATTTCTAGATGAAAGAGCTCTGTTCTTCAATATCACCTTCTCTCTGCTTTGCACACTCGGTCTTAGAGATGCTTCAGATCTTGATTTTTTTGATCGGTATTCCTTCACTTTCTTCAGTCTCTCACTCAAAATTTGACTCCTAATACTAGTTTTACCAGGCATTTCAGCAGATTTTGCCTTAGACTTAAATCTGTAGGCCTTTGCTTTTGATCGTGTATTGGGATACACTGCTACAGAAGAGTTTTCATTTCTAACAGTAGATTGGTGATCAACCTCTCCTTGAACAGGGGCCAGTCTTTCAACTGCAGTATTATCTTTCCCAACCTGCTGTTGTCTTTGTGTAGAAGTTTTGGTGTGCGGTTGTATTGTCTTCTTTGATGGACGAGATATACTGGGTAACTCAATATCATCATCAGGGGTTCTTTTATCAGCAACACTCATCTTGTTTTTTCTGGGCCTGTTTGATTTTTCAGAGGGCATTGTGACACAATTGCCATTACTTCCACCTCCTACTTCAGTTTCACTAGTACCTCGAATTAAGACATCAAGTATGGTACAATGAGAATTTGCTTTCAATTCTTTTCCATGCCTTTTAAAACCATGTTTGTCAGCTACAGATATATACCACGGTTTTCGATGAAATCTCACAAGACAGTTTCTAGTTTTGATGGGCCCCGGGTTGTACCTGGGATCTCTCATGTACAGCACGGCTCTCACTACTTGCTCCAGTTCCTTCTGTATTTGCTGTTGTGGCACAGCAAGGACACCATCCTGACATGCGCACTGGATTCTGAATTTGTACACAGTGTCGTTGTGTTGCAAGAGCCTGGTCTCTACACCAGGGACCTTAAACGGCTTCATTGTTTAAATCTGAAAGTGACAAGATAATCAGTGATGATGATGAAAAGGAAAGGGCAACAGAAATTGAATCAATCATTTAATCATGGGTCTCACATGCAATAAGAATGCAACTAATTTCAAGTGGCTGACTGTGAAGCTTTGTTTGAATACAAGGTAACGAAATACTCTGCACAGTCTCTTAAACTTGGTATTCATGTTTGAGCTTATGGTTTCCGATGTGTACTGGCTGTGCTAACGCATTGCAGTAAACGATGCAAAAAATCTAACGCATGATAATTAAATGCAAAAACCTCAAAAAGTGTAAAACGACGTCAAGCTTCAATTTTTTAATAACCAAGTTTCATCTCGTTAACGATGAAACGAATGGCAGATTTGGGATTTGGTTTCAAACTCTCCGAGGCTGAAGTGAATGGCAAACAAGCGGGTAGTAAGTCAAAATGAAATTAAGCTGTTCTTAATTCTAATTGTGTATGTTAAACTGTGCTATTCTGGACTGAATGGGCCAATCTAAATGTACTTACGAGTTTCATAAAAAAAAGATAATGCACTTAGATTATGGCATCTGTCGTCGTCTGCACGCTTATCAATTTCAAACATGGCGGCTTCTCTAACCCATCTCTAACAAACGCGATTTAAAATTATTGACTTTGACAATGAACCAACTCAAAATATCGATGAAAAATATATTTTATTTGCCTAAATTCAAGATAGCTCAAATAAAAACAGCTTTGAATTATACATTTTTCTTTGCAGTTTCCCACAATGCAGCAGCAAAACACATTTGACCTACTTACGGACTGTCGAACCAAAAATGAGTGAATGTGACTGGAATGATAACTAAATTGTATTTTCTGTTTTTCAGTCGAAAGTAAGTATTCACTGCTTGTATTAAACCAAGCATTTTCGATAGAAGGCCAGGGAAATCTACGAAAAAATGATTTGTCGAAGGGCATTGATACTGTAGAGTTGACGTGTTAGATTTCTCATTCAGAGTAAACCAGGTGGAATGATTGGTATGTGTAGGTTTTGGTTTTAAAGAAATTCGTTGATATATCAAAATAAAGAAAAAAGGTTAAATACTTAAAATGACTCAAATTGAAGAAGCTACCCATGCTGAGTATTCAAGTCCAGTGGTCATGAAATTCTAACCAGAAAGGTTAAATAAATATTTTAACTTTATTAAATTAAATTAAATATTTTTCATTTATTTTTGTTACCAAGCTGCTAAGGCGTATTTTAAGCTGCAGGTCCCAGGCAGGTTTATCTGAAACTAAGGGTTAACTACTGCATTCAGCTGTAGTTGACTCTGCTCTGTTCAGAGGGGAAAACAACAGAATGCAAGAGAAACTGAAAAGCTGGGGAAACAGAGACACCAGGAATTTTTGGAAAAAAATAATTAAATCAGCGTCTTTCATTTCAGATTTACTCTTAAACAAGAAGACAAACAGAAAACAACAGACAATGTGAGGACCATAAGAGACTTAGTGTAAACCGAGAGAGCCAGGAAGAAATGTCAGACGCCATGCGGCTTTCAAGTTTGAATCGTTTCCGGCATCCTGCAATCAGGTTTGCGTTGCCAGTGTTGTCTATAGTGGCTCTCCTGGTCTCTTTTCACATGTGTTGGAATAAGTGTAGTGACAGGGCTGTCCACAGCCCGACTGGACATCAGGATGATAACTTTTATAGGTGAGAACAGAGACAATATTTTATAATATCTGTTAAACTGTTCATGGTTCCAAGGACTCCTGTTTGCTAATATTTAGCCTGATGATGCTCTTGTGTCAGCTGTTTCATAAATAATTAGTTCCAAATTTAGCAGTCTTTTATTGCTAATGTGTTAGTAAGCATTATACAAGTTTTTGCACAATATCAATGTACTGTAGAATTTACTGTAGCGAACTAGCTGTGGACGTGTATCTGTCCAACTATCTATTTATCCTCTTTCCGTCCCTTTCTAAATCCTCAGGGCTTCCTCATTCATTTGGCCACACCAGAAGACGGGTGACTTTTCTACAGCTTATGGTAACTTCATAGATTTAAAGACATCCAATCTGCAGCAGTAACCTTTTATAAAAACTTAATCTTTTTTTTCCCAGGGAAGATAGGCCGATAGGACAAGATGAAATATATGACGAGAACTCTGAGCATCTCAACTCAAATGACCTTGGCAAAGGTCAAGGTCAACATAAATCAAAGCCTGTTGATGAAGTGGAGGAGGAGGAGGATGGTGGTAGAAGTCAAAAGACGTACAAGGCAATACAGTGCCACATTAACGAGGATTATAATATTCCTTGCAGAAAGGAGGACAAAGAGGTTTATGTTCCATTTAGTTTTGTGCAGAATTATTTTGAGGTAAGGCCAAGTGAAGTGAACTAGGCATTGGTTTTGTGTGACTTATTGTGGACAGCACTTATTGGTCCAGCATTAAAATACCTAGTTTTACAAACAACATGCATAGACATTAGTTATATTAGTACACTTACCATTTTTTGCGTGCATTCTTTCTCACCTTCAGCAGCACTGTTGTTAACACTGTTTTACACTGATAAAATTTTGTTTCATATTCTTGATTTCAGATCACTGGCAGTGTTCAGCAACAGGAAGATGGCGGAGAAGTGTTAAACTGGCTTCACAGTTACTCCGAGATAAAACAGCTGCGAGAGAAATACTCAACAAAGGGTGTCTTCATGCACTTTGACCACTACAATGTGGAGGTGCGAGACAGGGTGAAATGTGTCAGTGGGATGGATGGTGAGTGGCCTACTTTTTTCCCTGTCCCCATCCCCTTTTTTTCTGTCATTCTTGACCCCCTTCTTTCTCTCTCCTTTTTCTCTCTCTCTCATCCCCACTATCTACCCCTCTCTGAAAGTCAGCTCAAACCATTCTCCCTGCCAAGTCCACAGTAATTCAAACACCTGTATGTATATATATATTTATCTCCAGGTGTCCCAGTGTCCACCCAGTGGGGACCTCAGGGCTACTACTACCCCATACAGATCGCCCAGTTTGGCCTCAGTCACTACTCAAAGTTCCTCATTGACACAGAAAAAGCCAGTGTGACCCAGCGTCTTAAAGACGGGCAGGTTAACCGTGAGCTTTGGGAGGTCCCAGGGGGCGCCACTGTCCACAGCGTAGAGGACGATGATAGAGGAGGGCAAGTAGTGGAGTTTAAGAACACTGGTGAGTTTGTGTGTGTGTGTGCATGTGTGTGTGTGTGTGTGGGGGGGGGGGGTGATGTTCATCATCCTTCATTAATATGCATATTTGTTTCTGATATTTTATACAGGTGGTCAAGTTATGGAATTTAGGAATACTGTTGTAGGGGAGGGGTATTCTTTTATAACATATTTATACATATTCTAAATATTTGAGAACTTGACAATGTTTGTTATATTTTAATAGTTGTGGCCAGTTTGGGGTATTAAAGAACACAAAATGTCTTGCTCTGAGTGCATGTGTGTGAGTTTGAATTCTAGTTATTTCAGTGTCGTGTTTTCTATCGATTGCTTATGAAGCTTATTCATCTTTGTTTTCAGAGTCCTTTTCGAAGCCAGGGATTTTCTTTTCACTAGATGAGACAGCAGACTTTGTGTTAACCTTTGACCTTAAGTTTGAGCACAATGGCAGCCTGACTGTTGAAGTGATGACAAAAGGCAGATCCAAGCAGAAACTGTTCCTAACATACACGTGTAGTAACGTATTCATAGCTGCCTCTGGGAATAACATTTACCATGGAATAGGTGCCGATAAATGTAGAACATGGCGGACATTCACACGTGATATTGTCACGGATGTCCAAAAAGGTGCTAAAATATTATGGAAGAAGAAGTATACTAAAAAACACATTTCGAACATAGTGGGGCTTTACCTCCGTGGGCATGGGTGGATCGATAACATCTCAACCTCCAGCTCGGCTCACATGGCCCAGTTTTTTGCTGCGGCTGATTGGATGCTGAAGGCCCAGGACGAGGAAGGGGGCTGGCCAATCATGGTGACTCGGAGAATCGCAGACGGAACAGTGGAGCTTCCGCCTGGGTGGTACTCTGCCATGGCCCAGGGCCACGCTATGTCCACGCTCACACGTGCCTTTCTACGCTCTAAAGATCAGAAATACCTGGATGCTGCAATACGCGGGTTAAAACCCTTTGATGTGAAGAGTAAAGATCATGGGGTTTTAGCAATATTTATGGACAAATATGCATGGTATGAAGAATACCCAACTACGCCCAGTTTATTTGTTCTCAATGGATTTATTTACTCCCTCTTGGGGCTTTATGATCTGAAGTCAGTGGCGCCTGACAACTCTGACGTCCAGCGCCTTTATTCTCAGGGTTTGACCTCTCTCAAGGCCATGCTGCCGCTTTATGACACTGGGTCAGGGACAACGTATGATTTACGTCATGTCACGATGAGCAGGCCCCCAAACAGGGCGCGATGGGACTATCACACCACACACATAACACAGTTGTTAGTGCTCGCTTCTATTGAGGACGATCCTATTTTCGCTACAATGGCCAAACGGTGGACTGAGTACACAAAAGGAAAAAGATCTCCGCATAATTGAAAAATTCCATGTCAGCACAATGTATGGTAATGACTTGAAGTTTTTAATCGGGAAAATTGTGAATTTTACAGATACTGTTATTTTTTTCAGTCAATTTTTAAATTTAAAACATTCTAATTGATTTGCAGTAACAAAATTGAAAAGCAAGCTAGCCTATAGTTTTGTTCTATGCTGAAAAATCACCACAAATGATAATACAGAAATTAAATTTTTATGATTCTTATGTTATGTATCTGAAGGATTTAATTTGATGATTTTTGCCCATTTAAAATATCAAGTCATTACTGTATCAATGTTAATATGAGAAATAGTAGCTCTTTACACTAAAGGACAAATGTGTGTTTGGAGATGCACATAATTTTTGCAGCATGTTTTACAACATTTTTTGTCCAGCAATCTTCATGGAATACTGAACATGAATTGATAATAAATTTTGAAAATCCCTGACACTGAACTATAAGAGGGTAAATGTACTATAAGAGAGATGTTTGAAATTCTCAGTATTCAGAGAAACAAAGCCGAGTTAATCGTGGAACATATAATCATTAGTCTTCCACAGTGGGAATCGGGCATATTTTTTGTTTCTTTAATAGGAAATTTAGCTATCTATTTATGGCCCCATTCAGAATAGGGGACTAACTAGTCCAATGCTCAAATATGGCAACCCACTATAAAGCTTTCCATCTAATCCGCTAATAGACACTGAATAGACATCCCGTGGGGAAGTATTCAAGTGGGTCGGCCATATTTTACCCTCAGACTAGTTGGTCCCCTATTGTGAATGGGGCCTATCGGTCTTTCAACCATTATTCCAGCAAAAAAAGTAAAAGCTGCGCCATGCTTATTTTTATGTAAAGTATCCAGTTCTGCAAGGAAGCACAGCATAGAACACAGCAGCCTTTGTATTTGGCTAGAACCTGGTTGCAGTTGTTGTGAACCTTACACCCCATTTCCATAGATTAGATCGACCTAACTTCCTGGGGGTTCACGCTAAATAGCTGTCAGACGGGCGGACACGAAAGTTAATTATCCCCTTACAGCTTGTAGTAGACGGGACGGACATTTAAGTCGGATTATCTGAAAGTAATCTAGTGAGACTCCCTGTGGGGATAGATCGATCTAAAATCTATGGGAATAGAGCCTTAATGTGAAATAGAAGAGATAATTTCTTTACAGCACTTCTCTAATCATCTCCTCTACATTGTTATGAAACTGCAATCTGTATCATATGTACAATTTTATCAATTTATACATGGTGCTCAATTTGTGACTTGAAGTGATGTGAAAAAAATGCATATATTTATGTACAAGCTTTATTTAATGTGTACTATACATTTTTATCATACTGAGTAAAGAAATTTGACAGTTAAAACTGCAAATGAGTGAGCACAAATATTCCAATTCTATCATCTACGGCAATGTCTCATCATACGCTATTAACATATAGATTTTATAAATGTATGAAATGCCACTGGCATCAATTACAGCACAGAATGCTCCATACTTTATGAAGAGCTCATCACAAGAACATGACAAATTATCAGTTGTGGAACCACAAATCTGCTGATATTTCATTAATCATGAAGAATTCCAGACTCATTAGTAAGCCTCTCAAAGTATCTTGACACTGCATTAAACATTCTTATCTGCATGTAGCAGGGACTAAACAGAAGAAACTACACAAAATGATAAACCACAGCAACAATAAGCCACATTTACCCAAGTTAGACCTGTCCTGCATGAAGAAATTTGTTCAGGTATTTTTTTTTGCTGTTTGGACTTGATGTACACATTAGATTTTTTTGCAAAACAGAATTGTATAGTACCAATGTCAACAAAGCGATCTACGTCTAGACAAAATAATATCAGAACTGAAGAATGGTACTTGTCTTGATTTTTTTTTTTCATACCAAAATGACAGCAAGTTAACAAATGTGTAATGATAAAAATGTTCAAAATCCTCCTGTTTTTATAATCTCTCAGTATAACAGCTACAGGATTACAAACTGGTTGTACTATGAAACAAGCTTAGACATAATCCCTCCTACCTGGTGTGTGTAACATCCTCAGCAATGTCTCCATCATGATTGATTAAATATGATCTAATTTACACTCTTTTTCTTTGTGATGCATGAGTAGAGAAGATCTGGTTTTGAAAAAACCAAAGATCATTATCATCTCTGCCATGCAATGTCCAACAAAAAGCTTCTACGCTGAATATATAATTACACAAATCAAAGTAATGAACTAATGTGCTTAGGATTTTTTTATAGAGAACTAGCTTTTTTGAGGGGGGAGGGTATTCTACAAGCAAGTGAACCTTGGAGTTGCAACAATGACGTGTGATATTTGCAAAATTTTGTCCTGCCCCATTATTTTCTTTGCTTTATTCTATAGTGCCCTCCAATATGGAAAGAAAACAACAGTAATATAGAACAATTATGCAAATATTACACATATTGTACATGTGACAGTCTCACTGTTATTCGTCAAAGGCAAGGCTCAACATTAAGTTTTATCACCACATGTCCTTTGGACAGGTGGTCATAAATTTAACCTGTCCAAACTGAAGTTTTACCTGTCCGAGACAGGTGCTAGTGTCGAGCCCTGAAAGGTTCAGTTTTTGTGGAATGACCCTTCCTTTTTTATGGTGTATATATTTCAATGGACAAAAGTTGCACAGCAAAACCCTGGCGAAAGTCTGTGAGAAAATCACATCCTCGGGTAAAAGAACCATTTCTTCCTCAGTGTGGTGACTGGAGCCGGCATCTGTTTCTTGTTACATGCAGATTCATAGGCTGTCGCAACTTTGTTATTAACCTGGAATCACAGATCAAAGTGGATCTTTAAAATACTGGAAAATGTAAGTGTAGAAGGCATACAGCTCTAAGAAAAAAATACATGAATTATGTGAGTGATCCAAGGGGTATAAATGCAACACCCGAATATCTGGATTTCACGGAGAAATCATCAAGACTTACCTATCTATTAAATAAACATGGGTATCATAGAATCAGTGATTAAATGTAACCTAAAATGTATGATTGCAACAGTAATTTGATAAGTAACTTCTTGAGTATCCGTCTTGCAAATTTCAAGCGAAGCTCCTTTTTGGGTAAATTAAAATCAGATCTAGGTTCTTTGCCATTTGTCAAATTAGGTCAACTGCGTGAAGGGGTAAAAAGTTCCAGCTGTTCAAAAGAAAAACAAGAATTGCCTTTTTGAAGTTGCTAGCCTCAGGCCTCCCCCCCCCCCCCTCCCCCAACATCCCAATCTTTCAACAGAAAAAAACTTTTTGGATATTGCTTGCTTCAGGCCTGTACCCCCCCTCCCCATTTCTCTTTCATAAGATCAAAGTGTACTCACTACTGTCATCATGGACAACAGGTCCTCTTTGTGGGCGTACTCGTACAACACCGTACATAATTCCTGGATGAACCAACTCCCACGCTCAGAGTTCCTCCATGACACAAAGCCTGTGGAAAAAAATATTAAAACAACTGCTGTTTGAGAAGCAGAAATCAACTTTTAAAACACGTGTGAAATGAAATGCTGATAATTACATTCTTAATGTTTTATCTGTAAAGATGAATCATTCAGATAAAACAATATTAACATAATTTTTTGAGGGAAAAACTAATAAAAGGTGACCAAATCTTCAAGGTTAAATTGGGGTTACACATTGGACAGAATTCAACTTTACTTTTATAATTTCAACATGCTTCAGCCCAAATTATATACCTTGCAACAAAGCACTATAGTCCATGTCTACTTCTTCCTAAATTTTTCATCCAAATAAAACAACTCATTTATCCTCTGTGCTAACATAAACACACTGTTGAAATTCCTGATTTTCAATAGACCATAATTTCTCTACCTGGTACTGTGGCATATGCCACCAACATGTCTGCTCCTTCTGGAAGCTTCTGTCTCAAATTCTCAGTCTCTCGGACATTCATTGCTTGTAGTCGTTCTAACATCGAGGGACCAACTACATTCTGCCTGGTTCGAGTGGCTGGAACAGGCCCAGCATCTCCAGAGGGCGCTGTTTCTCCGTCTGTTGTTTCAAACCCAGGGTTGAGACTTTCTGAATATGTCAAAATTGTTGAAAATCAATACTGGCATAAGTACATGTACGTAAACCAAGCTGCATGTACAGCTGTATTTGAAAATATATTGCATGTTTTGTTTGTTTGTTTTTTTATGGAAAAATGTGAGCATGAATAAAATGTTTGTTACCCATCTGGTGATAATGGCCACAAATTCAAATTTATTTTGGCCAAATCACACCTGATGAAGATATTACAAGTCATATCCAATTATGGCCATGGATAATACTTACTGCTGTACTTCTCAAAACAGATATCAATACAATAACTACTGATAAACATAAAATACCCCCAGAATCAGTGGCACCATCTCTCTCTCTCATACTACAATGGTTGACAAAGTATACTTACTTCCTCTACAGGCCTGTATCACAAACAACTTTGGTTTGCCTCTAAGGGCAGGGCAGTGGGCTCCATCAAAAAATTTTATCAGTTTGTCAATTTCCACCGGTACACAGTCAGTGCCATATATAACGTTTTCCGATCCGTGACTGAGGAGAACCACTATGGTGGAATCTACATGTCTGTGACTGTCTCTCATAGAAAATCCTCTGATGGCATTTTCCATTTCCTGAAGCACCAGGTTAATAGTATGCAATAAAAACAGTATGATGAAAATTGATAAAAATTATTTGATGACAATTGGGTGGGCCGTCCTGTTTGCTGAATTTGTTGAGAAAATTGTAATAGTCATTTTTTTTAACTGTGGCATTTCTTACACACCTTTGGAATATTACGTTTTTGCTATTTGCAAACATTTTCAAAATTACATTTAAAATTCATATTAGTTAAAATCTGAGGTGAATATCTCTATAAATGCATAAATTATCATCTGTTCAACTTAAAAACACAAAAATTAAAATACAAAAAATTGAATAAATGAGAAAATATATCACTGATAAAAAAGTCCATACCATTCCCTTCATATTGTCAAACACAGTGACATTGTAACCCAAGGCTTTAAACACATTCTGCAGGTTGTCCCTGTCTACATCAGTCCCCAACCGCTCCGTGAGCTGCGACCCATGAAAGTACCTGTTGTTGATAATCAGGGCCTGGCCTCGTGGTTTTGATGTCATTTTATATATCTGAATAAAAATGATTGAGATAGCTTCTCACTATTTTCTATGAAGGACTGACCCTAAAAGGAACTACTCCTGTTTACATAATATGAAATTGAGTAGCTTCAACAGTTAAGTATTGGAAAGGAAACAGTAATCTGACATGATGTGCTTCTGCTACTGACATTTTGGCACAAAATGTCATGGGTTGATTCAATATGTGATTGGCAGTTTTTCCCACATAAGTAATTGAAAATTAAGGAGAGAAAGAAAAACAAAACAAACAATATATTCTTTTAGGGCTCATTGCTGAAAGCAGTCAGATTAACAAGTTCAAGTCTTATAAATTAAAGTTAAATGTTTTTTACTTACAAACTCATCTTCTGGGTCATTTACGGGGAGTACTTCATTCTGTTGTAACTGGCCAGTAAACCTCTGCCTGGTCTGTGG